CAGTCCCTACAGTCAGGTGACTAAGTGAAAGCCAATCTTCTCAAAGCCAGCAAGTTTCACAGTTATGGAAAAACATTAAAAGGGCAATCTTTAAAGGCTTTATAGATGAAAGGCCACTAAAAAAAATAAATAAATCTGATTTTGGGTGTCTGGCTCATGATTAAGTTCTGGTGCTATCAACACTACACACATCCCATATAGCAGCTGCGGCACCAAGTGTTGTTAAAAATTCAGGCCAGTCTAAAAAATTCAGTTTAATTCCTTGATAGCGATGTCTTTACAGGCCAAATAATATTCAATCTTTCCAGGCTTGTTTCTCATGGGGGAGTACACCATAATGCTACTGCAGCTGCAGAGCAGCATATAATTAGACAATCTTTTTGACCAAGCTTGGTCCATATGTGCTTGCCAAATAACCTGGGAGAATGAAGCAGGGATTGTCTGCTCGGTCTTTGGGTCCTACCACCTTGCCCCGTGGGGCCTGTTGGTCATCATTGGTTGGAAGGGGGTCGGGGGAACGGTCCTACACCCTGCCAAAGCAGTGACAGTTTCCTCCTTTCCATGCCCTTACCCAAGCTATAGCTCAGCTCGAAGTGCTGGATAAGAACTGACCTGCCAGAACCAAGTTCCTTGGAGGATGAAGAGACTGGTCCTGATGATTTCCAGGACAATGTGATCCCGCAGGCACACTTCCAGCAAGGCACAGAGGGTTCCACCAAATATAGCAATAAGCAGCAGGGAGTGGAGGTGCTGATCCAGAGCAACATTGTAGTTATGAGAACAGAAGAGGAAACCTGCCAACAGAACAACCAATATGGTTTGGTGTGAGGCCTTATTGGGATAAAAGATTCACAAAGGAGCCTGGCTTTGCTTAACAGAATAGGACGGACCATATCTGCTGTTCTATGCAGGGGCGACTAGCAGCTAGTCAAGGAAAATAGATATTTCCGTCTTAACGACATTATATGGCCAATAAGAACAAACACAAAGCCTCCCAGAGCTTGCTAGGTTTTCCCAGGAGGTCAGCCTTTGAGCTATATTTACTGACAGCGTCACTGAGATTTTCCCCTCAAGAGCCTGGGTCCAGCTGTCAGAGAACTCTGCTTTGAGATTTTGGATGGGATTCATCCACCAAACCTGGACGCCAGGCTGCTCAACTCCTGCAACTGCTGCTCCAGAACAAGCCCCCCGTGCTGTTTAGCATCCAGTCAGCAAGTAACCCAACCACTTGAGCGGTTTGTAAGACGTCCAGCTGTGTTCGTGGTCTCCAACAGCTTTTACCTCTATGCTTTAGCCACGGTCATTACTTTTTTATTCACCTTCAATAAAGAGAGCCACAGACAGCAAGAGACGATCCAGTCCAAGGGGCAGTTCTACGCTTTAGCCACGGTCATTACTTTTTTACTCACCTTCAATAAAGAGAGCCACGGACAGCAAGAGACGATCCAGTCCAAGGGGCAGTTTGAGTCGGTAGGAAAGAACCTCCATGATGCCCGAGAGGCCAAAGAAGAAGTACATGGTGGTGTACTGCCAATTTCCAAGCTTCACCCAGCTGTGATCCTCCACACTGTACAGAGACAAGTGGGGACCATCAGGGACAAATTGTTCAGCCAGGATCCCTAGAGAAAGAAACACAAAGAGATCACACATTTTACTCCTAAAGGAGGATAGGGAGGAGGGGATATGAAAGCAGAATTGGAGACATGAAGAAACCAAATGGAGTTTTTTGCAGCATCGTCCTAAAGGAGGATAGGGAGGAGGGCATATGAAAGCAGAATTGGAGACGTGAAGAAACCAAATGGAGTTTTTTGCAGCATCTGCAGGACCTTTCCTGTGATGCGCTGGTCTGACTCAATACAGCACTAAGTTTTTATCTGCTAAAGTATGCTTGCCAGTTGCTTGAGGAAGTTTAGCCTGCTGTATAAATGCTAAAGTGAAGCCACTGAGGGGTCTCTAATGAGATAATGGTTGTGGCACAATCCTGGTAATTGTTTTGGGCCATTGGGTGACTGGAGAAAACAGCAATAACAAACAGTCCTTACCTGCTAGAGCAAAGAAAGCTTTGACTGTCCCTTCAAAGACATCTAAACGCTGGAAACAGAGGTTCTTCTGACCCTCTGCATTCAGCTTCCTGTTCAGATACATCAGGGGATATTTCACGGACCACCAGAATCCAAAGAGAAAGAAGCAGCTGCCCCGGAGGGCATCGCCTGTGAAGCTGGACATTGTTGAACCAACTGACTGGGTCTGAAAACACAAAAAACAAGTGCTCAAAGTCTTTTTGCAGATTCATACTAAAGAGCTTTGTATCTTTATGTGGAGCTTGCCATCAATTGCATGAAGACACGCAGCTCCTGTGAAATCCTAATGCACAGATTTATTGGCAGTATCACGTTTTTCATATCCCTTGCCTTGGTGATCATCTATGATGCTACTGGGGGTGGGTGGGGAGGGAGAAGAGTTGTCCAGTAACTGGCTTAGATCCGACAGGGATGTTAACTGGTAGAGCAATTTGGCGAGGTCTTTTTAAAAAAATCTGGTTGCCAACTTCTTTAGTAGGGATGTAACAAAATTACTGCAGTAAAGAGGGAAAGAAAAAGAAAAAAACCCCCAGAAAACTTTCTAGGAATACAGTTATCTCCTCTGAAGAGAATGTAATAGGGTGTGACCCCAGCCAGTCAGCATTAATTCTCTTTCTTTAATAGACACAGACGACTTCACTAAAACTTGGATGCTGAGTAAGCTAGATAAGCAAATGGGGCTCCCGTTCAGTGGAGGGAACAAGCCAACCTTTGCCTACTGCCTTAGGTGCAAAGGGGCAGAGATCACAGAGCACACACAGAAGATACCGGGCACATGGGCACATTTATGGAGATACCACCACTAAAGAGACTGAGCTACAACAAGCACTTTTGGCCACAGCCTGGGAAATGCAGTTTGAAGCATTACCAGACATGGTAGCTTCAGATGTTGAAGACTTGAGAACAAAGAAGGCACAAAAGGACAGCAGGTACTCAAATGCTTATTATAATTGTATGCTGTGGTTTAAGTCAGGGGCTGGCTTCATTCCCTCCTAGCAGCCATTTTCCTACACAAAACCTTCCCATCTGCCCTTTTACATGCTTCCATTCACCTTTATGCATTCTTTCATATCGTTATAATACTGGGAAAATACCTCCTCTTCTGTCACTCACAAACCTCCTTTCAGATCCTACCTTAATACCTTCCATTTATAAAAGGGCAAAAATACTTCCCCCAAAAGGTGTTTTAAATGATAGCACATTGTCATCCTATTGATATGGTGATTTTTTTAGGTCAGTGACTGTATCCTCAGAGTGCCTGGTGTGCGCTCTACATCAGCACCTGGATCAATAACTGGAGCATGTTTTCCAAGTCCTCCTACTCTAGGAAGTAATTAAACAGGCATTTCAAAATTAGGGTACTGTGTGGTATGGAGCAGCTCTGTGAGCTAGAACTGGCAGAATAGGGTGGCTTCAAAGCCTTGGCAATCAAGGTAGGATTTTCCAAAACCTAAAGAATGGAATGGTTCTGGCTTCTTTTTATTCAAGCAGAGCTGGTTCATACGAGCAATCCTATTCCTCTCTACTTACATTTGTAAAAGTTCAAAACCATCATCCTTTGTACTTCTAGGACCCAAATTTCCAAAGCAAGAACAAAACTATATCCAGCAAGTTATGCTCTTGCTTTAAAATTAACTCCTGATGAAGAATGTCCGGCATTCAAAGCTTGACCAACCATTCCAGCTATGCAGTCGGTTCAATAAAAGATATCACGTTAAGAAATTCTTGCCTCTTGCATAATCCCTGGACCATCACAGCTACAACATCACTCTAACACTACTCCTAATAAAAGTCTGCATTGGCATGATATAGGAATACCTCATCATGAAAAGAGGTTAGCTCCATTACTGGCAGGAGAGAACATTAATTGTATTCTCTGGTCTCACTTGTGTAAATCACCACAGCTCCACTGACTTAAAATGGAGCTATGGTAATTTATTCCATCCGAGAAGCTGACCTTGTAGATTTATTTACCAGCGTCCTGGCACATGCTGTGTATCAGGAAGTAACAGAAGAACCCTGATTAAGTATTAAGTTGGCCAAGGACTGTAAAGCATCTGAAAGGACTTAAAGATTGAATAGGCAGCCCACCTGGCAAATGAGATTTCAAATAGGTGGGTGTGGTATAACAGAGGAAACATTAAGCTATTCACCCAGAAGGGATTTGAAATCTCACATGTGGAGGATATGAGCAACACTGGAGGCTAATTATTAAAACACCTCATGCACTAAATATTTTATAGATAGTCCTGAGTGGGAGGAAGGCTCAGCAGACAAACAGGAAGACAATGCCTTTGTCTCAAAGAGCACCCAGTCCAAATTAGACAGGTATTTAGACCATGGACTGGGAGGGAGAAAACTGAAAATTCACAGAAAACGTGTTCTGCAGGCATGGATCCGGCCAAGCTTCACCAGAACAGTAGTTAGGTTGTTCGACCCTGCTGCTGCTGTTGGAAAGCTGTTCCAGAGCCCAATTGCTCTGGTGGTTAGAAACCCTTTTCTAGTTCCCAGTCTAACTTTATTCATAGCCATTTTAGAGCCACTAATAATTTCTACTATCAGCAGAGAATAAAATAGCCTCTAAATGCATCACCTTGTACTTTATTAGTAATGAAATGAAATTCAGGAGGACACACTGGTTATTAAGAGCATCCATTTCCTCCCGTAGGATGTTTCAGTCCTCCTTTGCATTGACACCAAAAGCTTGTACCTTCTTTTTATGCCAAGATCATTAATTAAAAAAAAAAATCCTTCAATAGCACCCACAAACATGCATGCACACAATTAGCTCCATCTTCAATACAAGGAGCTTCACTGGTAAACTCCCTTGTGCTTGATGTTTCCCTTTTCATCATCGTCTATTGCCATCATCCCCCACCCCATAGTCAATTCTTCATCCATCTAAATACCTGCATCTCCACTTAATAATTTCCCATGCAATGGGGTTGCAAATATTTTATTCAAAACCATATAAGAGAGGATTTTCCAGACAAAGTAATCCAAGATAAATAATAGGCTACTATGGTTTCTTTGTTAAGCCTTTGTGCATTCTTTTCTTCTAAAGACAAGGATGTGAATGAGGAAAAGTATTACCCAAGTTCAGGGTGCAACTTAAGGGGGAGCTTGTGGGGGCTGAGTCCCCCATAAGGGACAAGACCCTCCCCCCAGTAAGATTTTAAAATCATAACCTGTGGGGGTAGTGTCTCCAACTGGATTGCTCCTTCACGTAGGTGGACTTGTTAATCAATGAACCGGTTTAATTTTTTTTGCAGGACCCCCCCTCCCCCAAAGAGTCAAAGTGTAATTCAAACCCTGCCCAAGTTGTATATGCTATTAAGATCATCCTTCCCCTTCCCCCACCACCTCTTACATATAAAGAGTTTCTATATCATCATCCAACAATAAGATACCACTCTGATTCCGTGGGTTTATTCGTGAACAGAACCTACGATGCCGTGCACCAGTTCTCAGACCGCTGGGATGCAGGTCTCTGGTCTCTTCCTGCCGTAGGTTGAGCTCCTGCACAAAGTCCTCCTTCTGGCTTAGCTATGAGAATTTTCAAGGCCTGATTCAGATCAGCTTCAGGCAATTTTCACTTTATCCCTAAGCCTCCTGACCTCTAAGACAGAGCTTCCTTTGATGATCAGCCTCTTTTCCCCCCAATGCTTTTAAGCTCATTGCCTTTGAGGCATCTTCTAGGGAAAGTGTTCCTAACCCAAAGTTGCCTCCATCTGCCTTTGCTTGGGATACAAGTTCCAGATAATCTTGTACCACTGATATAGTAGGAGAGTCAAGCCTATGTGTACAGAAGGCAAGGGAGCTAGTTAATAGCTATGAACGAAGGAAGAAGCTAAATGTGCTCCATGTGAGATTAGAGACATAAACCGAGATAATCTTTTAGGGAGAAATACGAATACTACAAATTATATTTTTATCTCTTCATCTCTGGGGCCACGTTTTGTTTGTTCTGTACTATAGCTGGCCTGTTTCTGGGCATTGAGAGTAAAGTAACCTCTTGTGGAATCTGAAGTCACAATTTGACAAATAATTTCAATGCATTTGAGGCCAAGAAAGAGGTTAAATACATTTCAAACCAGCAACTCAGTCACACAGATTTGTAGTGCTGCTTTCTAAATTATGCAAAACAGAGCAAACAAGACCAAATATACTCAACATCTGTTTACCAGCCCACAGAAACTATAACCACCTCTGCATTACCAGCTGAGAAAGCCATATGAAAAGTGATGAAGTAAATTCTAAGTCCTCTGAAATCCAAAAACAAGCCATCAGTTGCAAAGTGTTCAGATTTAACTATGCAGCGAGCTAGTTCTTATTTTAGTAGACTGCAAATATGGTTACAGTCAGAAGCTATTACCAGAGATGCCTTTCTCTCTGCTGCTGCCAGGCTGCAGCGCTTTGGCCTAATCATCTTATAAAAGGTACCTGCCTTATCTCCTTAAGAGTGTTTCATTGACTGCTGTGTTCTGGTTTTTGGCCATTCAGCTCTCATCTCTGCTCTCTTTTACAGATCTTCTTTCCCATCAACTCAACTATGCTTTGATTTTTCCAAGCCAGCAAGGAGGCATAGCCTGATGCTTGCTCTCTAGTACAGCCCTGTCACTGCATTGCTTTTGTGTCTACCGATACCAAGTATTTATTGCTCTTGACAACTAAACAGAGACCGGGCTCTCTCTTTCCTATTCCAGCTCAACATTTTGAGTGCCACCAGCCTGACCCTCCACTGGTTAATCTCTTTGGCCTCCTCCCAAAACAGGGACAGTCTCTGGAGATGCAAGTCTTTTTCTCCCCCATTCAGCAAGGATACAGAGACTTTATTGCTATTCCTTCAACTAGTGCTATTCTTGTGGTCATTCACCCTTCACATTACAAGCTCCTGTGCCCATCTTAGAAAGAGTCTCATCAGCCAGCCAGGGAAAAGCAACAATCTCTGTTTTTAGGTGACCAATCACAGTCCTTGCATTAGTCACTTTTACTGAGAGCTGCCATGGTGACTGGTGCATGTACATTAAGAAAAATCCATTTGCCTCCAGATAATTGCTCAGCATAAAAAAAAATAAAGCAAGGGAAAACAGAAAACAGATCTCAGCTGACTGCTTGCTACTAATCACACAGGAGAAAGCGTCTGCTTCTTAGCTATCAGGCTGCTTTCTGATATATCTAGACAGCTAGGCTGGAGGGCACAGTAGGGGATCCATTTTGAAGGTAGGGCACTGAGCAGGGCCTGAAGTCGTCTCACCTCTGTTCTCTGAAGAAGGTCCTTCAGTGCCCGGGAAGCCTTCAAAAGTCTACCATGAGGAGAGGGTCAACCCAAACAGGGAGAAAAGTCTCAAGTCTACGGCTCTCCAACAGCAGCGAACCTTATGTCCACTTCTGCCTAGAGAGCCTACCTGATCATTCATGAGCCCAGCTCTTAGCAAAATGAGGCAGCCAGGTTCACCCACATCATTCAAGAGCCCCCTTTTGCAGGGGAAAAAAAATAGAGAGAGGGATTTTACCTGCACTATTTGGACACCTACTTCCTTCTTGCAGCAGAAGTGTCTATCTTGCACTCCAGATGGGAGTAGTTGGAACAGATTAAATAGAAGTCCCAGATAAAGGCAAGAGTAGAGCAGGGAGGTGTCTCTCAGGGCGGATGTTTATACGGGAGCATCCTCCAGGTCAGAGATGTCTGAGTCAACAAGGTTTCACAATTACCAACACCTTCCATTTGCCAGGGAACATGTGCATTCTCCTAGAATTTCACCACTAAGTCAAGAGAGCCACTTCTCCCTGCCTTTTTGCTCAGTTTACCATGTTTGGACAGTAAGCTCAAGAGAAATCCAGCCTGGTACAATAAAGCAAGGGAAGCCAGGGACACTTCCAACTAGAAACCAGAAAGAAACAAAGGCTTAGCCTGCTGGCTTCTCCAGAGCAAGCATCCCACAACTTAGAGATTCGGGTACAGGACAAGCCATGAGTCAGAGCTTTCTTCTACACTGGGAAAATATTCCCCTCCAGGACCACTATTTGGCTGAGGGGGTTCAGGGTACCAGTTTTCCTACAGATGCTTCTCCACAACAAGACCTGAAACACATGGCAATGCAGGTAGTACCTCCTTCCAACACCCTCCACTAGGTAATGCCAAAGAAGAAATACTACATATAGTTCCCACCAGCAAGCACACTAACCCTCATTTCCTCTTTTATGCATGCCCTCACTTCCGGAGCATCTTTCAGTTCTAGAGCTCCCAGCCATTTAAAAACCATCAAATAACTATCTTATGCAATCCCTTTTCCCTCAAAAGGCAGCTTAGTGCTGAGCTTCTCTCACAGGTGGGACAAGTTAAGCTGATTATGAAGCTGGGCCCTTGACAGGGAAAG